TTTTCCAAGAGTGTACTGCCTCTAACCCCTAACAGAATCATCCAGTGACAAATTTCACATGTCCTGTGAGAGAGTTCAGAAATTTCTCCCTGTTGGTTAGGGGATACTCTCTCTCCCTCCCCTGAACTGTTCCTTCAAGAAATTTCAACTCAAAGAAAATTGGAGGGGGGGTTCCTAAAGCTATCATGGCGTTTCCACAAGAAACGAGGAGCCATGCATGCATTCCCAGATGTGTAGGGCTTTTATCAAGGCTGGAAAGCTCAGGATAAAACCATAACTTACATTAAATGATTTATAAAGCTGTATACAGGTCCATAAGATCCAAAAATATGTATCTTCCTATGCAAGACTGACTAAATTTTAAAATTCTTTTTCACTGCCCCACCATCCCCACAAGCCCATCTGGCAAGGACACATAAGAGGGTCTTTCCAGTGATTGCTTCTAGGTTGTGGAATTAAAGGACTTGTCTTCACTGTAGAAATAATGCAGTTTGACACCACTTTAACTGCCATGACACCATGCTATGGAATCCTGAGGTTTGTAGCTTTTTGTGGGCCAGAGCTCTCTGAAAGAGAAGGCTAAATATCTCATAAAATTACAAATCCCAATATTCCATAGCATGGAGCCATGGCAGTTAAAGGGGCAAAGTCAAACAGCATTATTTCTGCCATGCCTTTACTGTTATGTCTTTTCAATGATTTTATTCTGTTTTAACCTGTGGGTGTTTTTAGATGATAGCTAATTAAATAAGTTCACTTTTGTATCATCACATTTGTAACTTTGTTGTAAGCACCTTGGGTCCCCTGTTGGGAAAAAGGAAGGATACAAATAAAATAAAATAAATATATGCGTCCAAACATGCATCTGAAGATTCAGACTGAAGTCTATCAAAGCTCATGTTACCAACTTCTTTCTTTCATTACTCAAAGGTGCTACAAGATCTCTTTGCATACTGATTTTCCACACCTATGACTTTGAATTAAAATAAATAAGTAGATAAATGGGACTGTAACCAATCCTGTCCATCTATTAACATAAAAGAAAACATGATGGAACATGCCTCTGTACCCTTTCTGTAACCTCTAATTTTATTCTAGGGTGTTGGGACACAGCTAGAAATCTTACTTTTAAGAATGAATGCAATGGATGAATATAATGAAATGTTGATGTTAACCATAATTGAACAGTGGTAGTATGATGCCCTGAGCCCATAACTGGAATGGTAGGGCAGGGCTCTTTTTTTCTTAACAGCAGCTTGCTTTCCATGTTCTGGTTTGGAGGATTCCTTAGAGCAGATTTGAGCTGTGCAGGAAAGACTGCAGGAGGGAAGCGAGCAAAGAAGGTCTGCTGAAGGAGCAGAAGTTCATAGTGTGAATGAATCTTAGAAGAACCTTTTTGTTCTCCAGCTGGATAAGTATTTTGCAATTGTAACCTTGTCATGAACCCTGCATCCCAGCTGGAATCTGTTTTGTCTATGTGAGCTATGAGCCTGATGCTAGCATTTGCTTCAGGTTAAACCTTCCAGCAACATGAGACTCACCATGTATCTATTTTGCAGGAAACCAAGCATGGCTTTCCTCATGGCTTTTCCTGGTGGGAAGATGTCAACAGGAACAATCAGAATTTTTTTTTTAAAAAAAAAAAAAAGAAAAAAAAAGAGATAATTAAGAATGGAACTTATTTTTAAGTTTCCTTAACTCCAAAGATACATTTCAAACCTGGATGCTGAAAGTTTGAGAATGAATGTTTTAATCTAATACCAGTGGCATCATGAGGGGGTGCGGGGGTGCAGACCACACCAGGTGACACCCTAAAGGGTCGGTGACACCACTTCTCCTCAAACACCTACTTTTTTTGGCAGAAACAGGCTGTGGCATTCATCTGCTTCCCTTTAAAATGCTTCAAGAGATGGTGGGAATGGGGTGAAGCTCAGTGACAGGAGAAAGGAGAGGCTCTAGAATTTTTAAAATTAAAAATTTCAAATTTTCAAAAAATATATACCTTTAAAACTTTCTATAAAAACATCCCATTTTAATCCAATCTTCACTAGATATATGTAAATACATTTAGGTTGTGCACATGATATTGTAATTTGAAGGTCTACTTTTAATTTTGTCAGTTGTTTACATCACAACTATTAGCATGACATTCAGTGGTATATGGGAATGACAATTTGTGAGTAACATTACATTAGTTGCTATGCAAGGAAAGAGTTTAAGTGAGGTGTCCCACAGCCATCCTGTCCCCTATGCTATTTAATATTTATATGAAGCTGCTAGGATAGATCATCCGGAGACATGGGGTGGGGTATTATCAGTATGCTGAAGACACCCAGATATATTTCTCCATGTCTCGATCCTTGGTTTTGACTTCAGATGGTGTCTCTCCTCTCAGTGACTGTCTTACGGCAGTAATGGACTGGATGACAAAAAACATATTGAGACTGAATCCAGATAAAATGAAGGTACTTACAGTAGCGGCCCCAAAACCAAGTATTGGGATACAACCTCCAGTCCTGGATGGGGTCACACTCTCTTCTAAGGACTGTGTTCACAGCCTGGGGGTACTCATGGATCCATCATTTCAGATGACAAATAAGGTAAATGCGACGGTCAGGAGTGCCTGCTATTAGCTTTGGCTGATACGCCAACTGCGCCCTTTCCTGGAAATAAGGGACCTTCAAATTGTGGTGCATGCTCTGGTAACCTCCTGTCTTGATTTTTGTAATGCACTCTACATGAGGCTACCCTCATGCTTGATCCAGAAACTCCAATTAGTACAGAATATGGCAGCCAGGTTGGTCTCAGGAACATCAAGAAGAGACCATATAATGCCAGTTCTAAAATCACTAAAATCACTTCACTGGCTGTCCATCAGTACAAGGTGTTGGTTATCACCTTTAAAGCCCTAAATGGCTTGG